AATAAGAATGTTGTATAGAGGAGTTTAAGGGACCACTTTGACAGGTCCGGATACAAATGAACGTCAAGCATGGCGAAGGTGTTGCATAACAAAAGCCATTTATAAGCGAGATAATAGAAACCGAATGCACTGAAAAAATTAGTGTATGAACATAACCTGCCATTATGTTCCCAGCAGTGGCCAAGCACTAGCAGTCAAAGCGGTCCTTCTTATAGTAATCTCCTTAGCAATTTTCCATGGGAGGGCTACGGCCATTTTATTTATATTACGCCTGTAATGGCGAATCTTTATTCCCGAAGGCGTTCTTTAAAGGTTCGCCCCGACTCAATGTAATTGTGGCCGCAGCAGTATGGAATCTCATACACCCCTCACATCAGAAGTGAGACGCGAGTTTTCATGCTCTTTATCTCGCAACGGCTCAAAAGCTTGCCAATTTGAATACATGGCAAACTGGCCTTCTTGCGGTTGGCATCAGCGCTAGGTGTTGTAATGTTATCCGCAGTGCTAGAGGTGTTCGCTGCCTGCCGTACGGCGTAGTTGACAGCGATAGCACTACACCCGTCAGCTAAAAATGCGCCCTTAATGAGCTCCATTGCAGTCTAAAGATTCCTCATCACGCACTCTAGTTTCTCTGATGGCCAGTTTTCAAAATACCCCGTTTACTCTTCGGGTGCTAGCCGACATGCGGGTTAATGGCTGATATGGGTTGGTTTCCTGTCAACGCTGCCCTAGATGTCAGCTTTGCAACACTTCGAGGAAAGGCCATTTTCCACTTCCATAGTGACCTTTATTTTGGAGTCGGTGTTACTGAGCCACAGTGATGGTTTATGCGGGACACAATCCAGAGCCTCTGTTTCGAAGGCTTCCATGAATAACTTGGCCACATGAGAGACGCGGGAACCCATGGCCACACCTACTTGGGCACGAGTCACTCATGGTACAGAAGTAAGGTAAGTTGTCCGATTCCATTGTAAGCCTTTAGAAGTGAAGTTTGTTGCATATGACAGTGACTGACTCATCCATTAGCACCACGGTGAACAAAGACGTGTCATCAATGCTAATGATGTCTGTCATTTAGGCATTGGTCTTTTAGTAAATCAATAAGGTGGGCTGAATGTCTGACTGCTGACTTAATGTCATCTATCAGTGGCTGTAGATTGCCTTAATATAATTTTTTGGGGGTTAAAGGCAATATTTACAACAATTGTCTTCAAACACCACTTCTGGGCACGCAATTCAAACCAATTGCTGAGTCACTGCAGGATGTACAGTGACACTGGGCATTGTTTCTCTGAGAAAGTAAGAAATTGCATGTGAGAAGAACATTGTGTGCCATATATTACAAGTACTTCAATGGTTCCAAATATTCTGTATTTAGTAATCAATGAATTCAGTTAATTTAAAACGCAATATTTAATGTCAATAAGTAGTGTAAGAATGTCAATGACCATGATCCAAGACTTAGGGAAAGTAGTAAATCTCTCAGAAAGGCCCCCTTAATTGAAAATGTTGGTGAAATTGAAAAAACATGAAATGCAAATTAATTTACAACCAACAGAAATGCAAAATATCAGGTCAATGTTGTATCTTCACACAACTGCCACAAAATTTGAATTAAAAACATTTTTTTTGCATCACTATGGTGGCCACTTATTTCCTGAACAAATTCCTGTGATTTTTCAGAGCATTTTGGTTATTTTTCACTGGTAAGATTTGTAGTTTCTTGCTCTATTTTTAGAAAAGTATTAAAAGAACCCTGACACTAATGTGACTGCTCTCTGATGTCACTGTGCTATAGTACAAATTTAAAAAAATACTCAACTAATAAAAATTGAGTCACTGTGTTATGCAGAACTAATTTTTGTAAGGGTATAATATTACACAACTGTCTCGAAAGTTTCCCTTACTTCTAATAATTCTTCTACAAATTTCCTTGTTTTCCCTGACTTTTTTTGGAGCAATGAAATTCCCTGATTTTTTCACTGTTTTACAGAAACTGAGTAATTTTGAATACACAGTACATATTCATCATCAAAAATGTTCATGCTTGAATGAAGATCCTCATTGTATTCATAGTTGCACCACACACTGAGATTATCCTGGCACACTTGCTAAGTTCTCAGTGCAGGTTAAGTTGCCGGGAATGCTCTCTTGGTCTGTGCCATTATCTGAATGGAATACATGCACATCTCTGCGCAAAAATTGACAATTGAAAAAAAGATTGTCCTTGCTTAAACAGCACAATGTGAATAAATCCTATGCATGCTCTTTGGAAGTTTCCTTTCAACTTTACTCAATGTATACATTTCAAGGTACAAATCATCTATAAAACACCTACATATGGCTTAATTGTGTGTGCAGTAGCAGAAATTAATACTTATTCAGCAGGGATTATAACTTTTCAGACTTATAGGAAGAGACAATTCTTGGATTCTCCCCATAAATTCACACACTGACTATTATCATTATGAAAGATAAAGGAAATGATCCACATTTAATGCATATGAATTTACAAAGCAGTTTCCTTGGTTTTAGTAGTAAAGAAACTATGTGGTGACAATAGTGATTATAAAGAACATATAACTGACTTCAGATGTCTCATTATTCTATTTCAATCTGAAGTATATTACAATTCCCTGATTACGAGCAATAAAAATATCCACAATAAAAGAGAAAAAAATAAATAAATTAGAAAATGAAACTGCAAATTTCACTCTTGAATGTGAAAATACACTACCCAGCAAGATGCAACAATCAATTGTGTTTTTTCATTAAAGCGATCGTACAATAGTCAAGCCAATCGAGTAGAGGGAAAAGGTTTTAAAATATATTTTTAACAGGCTGTGAGCGAAACACGTTTTTTGTGCTAATTTTCCATGCATTTAATTTTTTCACATCGTGAAGCATGAGTGAAACATCTGTAATGATTCGCAATTGTTTTTCGTCCTGAGGAAGTCTTTGTTTATTATTTACAAACAATAGTGTCTCAACACTAACTGGAATCCATTTATTTTTGTACATATACAGTATTTCTAGTTACTTGATATTTGATTTATATTTCTATGCTTGAAGTATTGAGTTTTGCTCACAGCGTATTAAAAAATATTACACGCAACACAAGCGCGAGGTGATTTCAGCAGCTGCATTCCATGCTATGCTTGGAGGTCAAACTTGACTCGTGCATGAATCACCAGTCTCGTGCCCTTGCTACGTAAACTACTATTTAAACTAATGTATTCATATATTGTGCAGGCACAGAACTGCACCAAGATAAAAATGCTAACATTAAATTGGCTCTTTTGAAATTTAATGTCTGATAATAAGCATCAAATGAGATCAAAACATTGTCTGCAAGCTAGACTAAAATGGGAATATCTAATTCCACTAAAATAGTTTACATTTAATGATAATTCAACATACAACATTTTTAAATAAATAAATTCTACATTCACCACTTCCAAATAACTGTTTAAAACAAAACAAAATAGAACAGAACAGACATTTTTACTGCCAATGTGATTTCAAATTTAGACACATGTCAATGCATGTTCCATTTTATACATCAAAGATGATCTTTAAATCAATATTTTCAATAAAAGATTTTGAGACGTTACTAGTGCTCTGCTTTGTTCAGAACAAGCTACATTTTAAAACTTAACCAACTGAGAATCATATCAGAAAGTGATTATTAATATTACTGTACCAAAACCCGAACTGGAAAAGTCAAAAGTGTTAGGTACAAAAACTACTACAAGTTATTTACTGACAAAATAAGATTTAGCAAACATAGCACAAGGTTTCTTGTAAAAGTAACAATATTATAATACAAGGTCACTCTCAAAAGTTACCAGAATATTTTTTTTCTGGTTGGCAAAGTCGGCTGGCAGAGTGGAGCTTCGGACGGAAAAGTTGGATCTAAGCTTCGAAACGTGACCAGTGTCCTGTGAGCAGTTGTTGAGGCTCCACGCAGAGGTATAAACTGCACCCTTGTCAGGCAAAAAATGTAACAGTTTTTGGAGCAGCATTATGCTATCAAGTTCTGTGTGAAAGTGGGGAAAAATGGTGCGGAGACGCTCAAAATGCTTGGGCAAGCCTACAATGATGTGGTGATGAAACAAAGCCAAACTTTCAATGTGGCACAAGAGGTTCAATGAAGGTTGAGGGGAGTCAATGATTAGGACCGCTCAGGACACCTGTCGACATCACAGAAAATACTGCGAAAGGTTTGTCAAGTTGTGGACAAAAAGCGACGATTAGTGTTCAGATGATTGCAGACGAGTGTAGAATACCTAAAACAATCGCTCACCGCATTTTAACTGAGGATTTTCAAATGAAAAATGTCCAAAAAGAAATTCACAAAATTAGATTGTGCACCATGATAATGCGTCAAGCCACACCACGTTCATTGCCTCCGAGTTGCTGGCCAAAAAGGGTTTCAACAACACTGTCCAAGCCTCTGTGCAGACCTGATTGGGCACCAGCAGACATCATTATGTTCCCAAGAATCAAAAGAACTGTGAAAAAACTTGGCATAAGGCACTAGCGGCTAAAAAAGCAACTGTAACAACAACTCTGAAGGAGATTCCCATTGACAACTTCAATGATCGAGGAAGTGTTGGCAACAGTGCATTCAAGCACGGGGAGAATACTTTGAAAAGTTCTGAAAAGATTGTGAACTGATGTTAAATAAGTGATAAAAAAAAAAATATTCCAGGAACTTTTGGGACAGGCCTTATATACTTCAAGTAATTAAGAAAGTGATAATTGATACTTGTACAAGAATTTGTGACAATTTTTAATAAATACATATTTTCTTAATAAATAACAAGTGGTACTTTTGATACTTAATACCAATGAGAATTCCAGTCTTTATTATTTGTATTAGAAAAAGTACATCATTCCAATGGGTCAGCAATTTATTCAGATGACTGATACATCTGAGGCCTCTGAAAATTCAAAGGGTCAGATTAACCAGTAATAAAGCATTGCAAGGCACTTACTTTAACTTGCAACATTAGAGCAGTTAGCTGGGTAATGAGAGAAACCATCCTTTTGCTCTTCACTATGTTCTTTGTTTGAATAGCGGTCTCTACCATATCTTTGGCTTCTCGCTGGCTCCTCTCTTGTAGATGAGCAGGAGCTAAAACAGCCGCTTGGCTGGGCTCAGGGGCAATCTGGAATAAAATTTTAATCATAAATAGATAAATGATCATTTGATTTTCACCTCATTTTGTGACCAAATTAACTTAAGAAATACATCTACCATTACACAATATAAAACTTTTATATCACATTTTAAGATCAATAGAGTATCATACAATATTGAAGTCACACATATGAAAAATTCAAAAAAAAAAAAAATTACAGTAACCATTTTTACACTTTTCATGGAAACATAGAGAAAGTGGAGTTAATTGCAGTAAGTATAAATATGGGGAATTCCCCCCCCCCTTCATAACTATGAGTATAATGAATTTAGACACATACAAACAATAAGCAGAAATAGATACATAATAAACAGTATTACAAAGACAAATAGAAATCTGATCATGATGTTCACCATTGGAAATCACAGGCGTATTTACACAGAAACGTAGTTTGCCGCAACAACACTTCCACGAGTCCTCAACATCCACTGATGGAAGCCATTGAAGAAGCATGTACTCATTGTTGGAGTGTCCAACTGTATTTCTATTGTTAAATAAAAATGCGATGTTTACATATTCCCCAACTAAATAAAAAGTTTGTTTTCGGCAGTTCATAATTATTTCCGACTAGTATGTTTTATATTTTTTTAAAATAATAAAAAGTGGATTCAAGAAACGAAATTAAAAGTCAAAAATGTAGGGAGAATCCCATACTTTGAGCTATTAAAGGGCGAAGAAATGCGTTTCTTTGTGATTGAGAAAGTGTGAAATTTTGAAGGAGGATTATATAAAATAAACCAATGATCGTGAGGTTACCTCTCTCGTATTCTTCTAGCAAACTCGGTAATTTTTTTCCTTCCTTTATAAATATCACTGTCATGTCATGAAATGAAAATGTGTATAGGCCTAGATGGTAAATGATGTTCTCTACATTTAAATCTAGGCTTCAAGTAACATTCAATTAGTCTTTAAAATGGCGCAACATTTCAATAGTCTTTCGGTTATGGCTGTGTTAAAGTGGGAAGGTAGCGAGGTAGCGGAAAAGTACAGCGACAGCGAGTGTTGTACTCGACACGAAATGTGCGTGATCTGGGCTGTCCAGGTGACGCCGCGTCGAAGGCTGTGTTGCCGACGTTTCGACCATCTTGTCGTGGTCTTCCTCAGGGCTGATCGAAACGTCGGCAACACAGCCTCCGACGCGGTGTCCCCCGGACAGCTCAGATCACTCACATGACTCAGGCCGCGGAAGCCTACGACTTCACTCGACATGAAATGCTTTCCAGACGGTTGTGGCAAGCAGATTGTTGTAAATTGCGGGAAAATTGAAAGTATACTTCCATTTATTTATAGTGTCTTGACAGTTCATCAGCTGTTACGCTGTCATCCAATCGGGAGCTTGAACGTCACCATAATGCCGTAACAGCAGATGAACTGTCAAAGGGCACTGATTAAATCGATGTATATACTACAGCACCGGCATCGCATAAGCAACTCTGACAGTTCGCTGCGCTGTTGCCATACATTACTACGTACATGACACCACCCACATGAATTAAATCTAAAAACATCCAACACTACCGATAGGCGATGACAGGTCTTGATATCGTATTCGTAACCTTCCCCACAACCTAACCCATTGCCTCGGCGACTTCACGCGAGGCAGATGAGCGGCAACGCTGAACCCTATGAGAAACTAAACAAATCCTCGCAAGCTGATTGCTTCAGAGCACACATGACGCATCACCGCACGTGGCGAGAGAACTGTCACAATCGCTTATACTGTAGTCGTTGGTGTGTTTCTATCGGGCCTACATAAATGCTTATCCCGTTGTGGGTGCGTGGGCAGCGTTGGCGTGTGCAACAAACGGAAGGGCGGGAGGGGATGCGGGAAGGAGCCTCTCGCTACCCCACTCTAGCTGTTGTTTGGAGAGGAGTCGCTTATTCGCTACCTTAAAAGCGGAGTATTGTATTTACAACTAGGTTACGGATTCATATGCCCTAAATATCCAAAAAATATTCATGCAAATATGTTTAAAAAATAGGAAAGTATGAACTTACAGAAAAATATAAATAAACAAGTGTGTGTTTTCTTCTATATGGCAAATTGTTGAATGGCTTTGCTACTGAGCTCTCATTTTCACGTCGTGAAGACACAATGGACTCTTATGGACAATGTAATTCTCATGGAAGAATCTCGTGCACTCCAAATCGATTGTTGCAAGTAAGTAACAGAAATGTAGTCTTGTAGAGAAAATGACGAGGAACACAATTGTAATGATGAAAAATGCGTCAATCATTTGATGTTTAAATAAAATAATGGAAACACTGTATTTCTCCGCAACTGACTTTTTAAACACCTTTTTTATTCAAACCATTAAAACATATCCAAAAGTTGATGGCATTATTTAGGGAAAAATCGATACCATATTTTAGTTACTTCAGCCGGAGGAAATGCGTTTGATTTTAACAATGTTAAAATGTGACCCTTTAAAATATTGAATTGTTTGGGGTAAAATGAAATTATCACCCAAAGGTCGTCGGATGCATTACTTGGGTGTTTTGGGTGTGTTTTGAAGACGAGCAGCGCGCGACGTGAGGCTCGACGGGAGACGCGACGAAGAAAAGGCACAGATGCAGGACGAGCGAGGGCTGAAAAGAACTGTTTGTTTATATAAAGTTATCAGCGGAATCCATATCAATACTAGATTGATCGCCAGAAGCTCTTTCGAGAATTTTATCTAGCTGGGTATTCTGATCAATCGATTTTTGCTGGTCTTCCCTTTGCACATCCACCATCTTTACTCGTGTGAGATGGATGATGTGCGGGGGTAAAGAAAATTAGGTACTTCATTTAGTTCACCATGTAGTATGATAATTTTAGATATAAAATGGATTGTAGGGAAAAGTGCGAAATAATTAAAAGTGGTAAAAACATTTTTAAAGTATTCGAGAATGTAAAAGGAATATCCAAAAACGGAGTCAATCGTGTGAATGAATTTCGCAGAGCAACAGGCATCAGCAGCAATTCCATTTTTATGATGAAAAAGGAAAAAGAGTGGGCAAATATCAAGAAAAATAAAGTTAACTGCACTGAAGAATCAATAGGGAAATTAAGTGCGACGATTTTGTACGTCTCCAATTCCACGCGTTTCTATTTTAAACTGTTCCCGCAACAATGGTGTAACGAAAGATTTTAATGATAAACATTTACTAAAATTCAAATATTCATTTTATCGCTTATTAATAGAAATGGGATTTCAACTTGAAAATCGAGAAAAAATACAGTAATGATACAAAGAAGTGATATAATATTAGCCGATATTCAAATCTACGAGAAATGTGACTGTTTAGAAATGAGAAGAGGATGAGGTTTTGTTCATTGCGTAAATTAATTAATCAATATTTGACGTCACAATGAGCAATTTACGGTTATTACTTTTCATTTTATAAGAGAACACGTGTAATTCGTCCCTGTGTATTACATATTTACGTTAATAAAAATATGGTTGTAATAAAAATAAATTGTGCGAATAAACATTTTTTTTTTTTGCAATATTTGAGTATATTGAGAAAGGTAGCCGTGATTTTGACGATTCTGGAAAGAGTGGGCAAACGAACGTGATGAATCGGCAACGCGCGGATTCTCCATGACACATTGTGCCTTCACAACGTGAAAAGAACTAAACAGTAGATAGTTCTATACTCCGATTTGAACATAGTGGCACACCAAGGACACGAGCTGGAAGGAGAGTGGGCATTATCATTCAATTAGGAGCTCCAATACCACAACGTTAAGTCGTAACGGACGTCACGAGTGTTCGTCAAGTTTGGTTTACGGCAAAGTTAAGAAGTGTGCACCCAATATATGTTACTTCAGTTTTGATACATGATTTGTAGCCGTTATTACTGAATTAATACACTTGCATCTGCAATCAATAAAGAAAGTACCTTCTTTAAAACATTAATTTGTGACAAGTAATAAAGTGCAGCATGGAGCCATGTTCCCCATCTAATAACAACAGGCTCTGGAAGAAGGGAAATTTCTGGTTGTTCCTCTTCGAATATCCCTGTAGTCAACGGAGCTTTGACAAAAACTCTTGTAGCTAAAAAATCAAATTATTAACTGTGTGCGAACGAATCTCTTCGGCAGTACGGTATATGCTATGATTGCAAGTGTTGTGGAGCGCGTTTGAAGAAAAATGTAATATCAACGGTACTATGTTGTTGCTGGTATAGTAAGTTTACTTCACAAAGAAGAGTCATTTGTAATAGAAACTTCTCTTTTTTATTATTGGATATATTTATAATTGAAGTAATAAGACATCAAATAATTTCCCCAGCTGTCACGAAGAAGCTTTAGAGAGGATAGAAGTTTTCCTTAGCGGCAGTTAATAGTTTTGCAACAGCTGCGACGTCGCCAAAGCCTTTCTCCCGCATCCGCGTGGTTGAGTTGCGTTACTTTAGTAGTCGTGTTCGTGCTTGGTAGTTGTGTTGCGTGGTTCTCTTTACTAGTTGCTAATATATTGTGAGGTAATGGCCAAGCCCGTGGAGAAAAGATGAGGAATAGAACAAAATAGAAATCTGGAACGACGCAATACTTACGATGTCAACTTTAAATTACGAGTAATTAATCTCGCTCAACGAACTAACAATATTGAAGACGCACAACGTTATGGAATAAGTGAAGCAAATGTACGGCGTTGAAGAGGTTTGAAGGATATCTTGAATTTTTGTAATTCCACAAGGAAATGTTTCTGTGGACCAAAAGTTGGGGCGCTATCTCGAAATCGAAAATGAAGTTGTCGCACGCATTTGTTATAGAAAATCGGGAAACCCTTAGAAAAGGGTATCGGAGTTTCAACAGCATTCGCATTGAAGCCTTAGAAGTAGCAAGGAGGAGGAACAATCCCAGACAGGAATTCAATGCGAGTGTCGGCTGATGCATACGGTTTATGAATAGGAAAGAGTTGTCTGAACAACTTCCCTATTGCAAAAGCTGCCTGCTGATTATGAACAAACACTTCTGG